TATTTTTTCAGTTGGCCTAAACATATATTTTCACTTTCACACTTCATCATTTCTGCCACTGACCAGAAGGTTGTTGACTTGAATCTCGTTCTTGACATAAGCATCATTGGTTAAGCGGTCAGATCCACTGACCCACAGGTTGGTGGTGCAATTTCAGCTCCCACAGATGAATGCTGTTGTTGTGTCCTTGTGCAATACACTTAAGCCACCTAATGCTATTTTGAATATTTTTTGTGGATGTGGTATTTGCCCAAGGGTATATTATTATTATTATTTATATTTATTTGTAAAGGGACAGCACATCTTAATGAACATTTAAAATGTAAATATTTAAAGATTGTAGCCAGCATGACTAATCTTCAGTCCATCTTCCTGCGTAAGGTTAGTGATTTACAAGTGCATTTTTTTTTCTGGTTTTGTTATTGATACAATATTGGAAAGGGTTTAACCCATCCATGGTTTAATGGTGGGCCATTTAATGTTGGAGAAAAGGATTTTCCGTAGTTTACATTGGTCGATTATACCGCTTCTCATATGTATGCTACTCTAATAGATTCATGATGTATGATCATAGAACTATAATAACTTATTATAGATTCATGTGTATAACTGTATGATGTTTGTTTGGTTCACTACTTCCTAGTGTAGGGGGACAGGAATTCTCGCGATACTTACCATGTTTCCTTGCAACTAAACGACAGGCCCAGTTGCTGGAATGCGAAAGTATAAATTATTGAGCAAACAAAAGCATTTGGCGTCTATGATCTGAATCTACACGTGGCACCATTCGGATTAAACTATGTACCGGGACAAAAAAGAAACTCATAACACATGGTAAGGTTTACTCGAGAAGCTGCTAACTTTAGCATGGTTAGCTCGCTAATCTATCAACACTCGAGCTTCTGACAGCTGACCGGGACTTGCTAAGCTAACAAGAAGTGAGTTAATCTTACTCAGCCAGGACACTATGGGTTTAAGCAGTGAATTGCAGCTGTTGTAGACCTGCCACTACATATCGTTATAGTTATTACCATGTAGATTTATCTACACTAACTTACGATTAGTTAATCATGCACAGCAGTGTAGAGCAGAGGTATGTCGTCGTTGCTTAGTGCAACAGTACGGCTAAACAAACAACAACTGCTGTCACAAAGACTGCAGGTTTGATTTAGGAGTGTGTCCTTATTCTGTTTTTATGCATTAAGATTTGTGTGTGTGTGTTCATTGGGTGTAAATCAACCTATATACTTGAAGTTGTTTTTTTTTTTGTCCTCACTGTTGCTGTTGTGCTGACACGCAGGGCGTGTTTCAGTGGCTTGTCTTGTTCATCTTGTTCATCATCAAAGTGATTTACATGCACTTTTAAAATTGTGTGTAATATTGTGTTCTTTATCCCTTTATAACAAGGGGATGATGAGACGAGACCACCATCTGCAGCTTCGGGCTCGTTGACCCTCTGTGTTGGCTCGGGATGGCGCAGGCAGGCGCTCAGCTCGACTTTCACATCCTGCAGGATCTCAAGCAGCGGTTTCCAGAGATTCCCGAAGGAGTCGTGTCCCAATGCCTTATACAGGTAAAAGCACAGCATAAAGTTCTTGTTACAGTGTTGTAATTAAATCCCTAAATAAGTCCCTAAATTGGAAATGATGGTTGTGTATTCACAATTTCAATTGATACTTTATAAAAACGTTGGTGTTATTTTCTGCACAATTGGTATGTGGAGACTAAAACTCCGATGTTAAATAATTGAGATCGTGTTCTTGTCGTTTTAGAACAACAATAACCTGGATCTATGCTGCCATCTCCTGGCTCAAGAAAGTAACAGATATCTATATGGTGAGTTTCATCACAGTCCAGAGGAGGGCCGATTGAACCGTAGCCACATGCTTCACATTAGCCTGTATCCTGGGAATGACGCAGCAAAGCCAAATGGAGGAACAGCAGGAGTGGGGCGCTCTCTTGTGCACAGCACCAGTGACAGTCACATCGATCCGCAGCGGCCCAGTTATCCTGAACCACTGTCTGCACCTGCAACAATGGCCCCCTCTCCTGGCTACAATCCGTTCTTTATAAATGACCAAAGTAGATCAGCTAGCACTCCAACACCACCCCCGATGCAGGGCATTTCCCCCACTTATTCACCTGTTCAACGTTATATGAACCCTATAACAGTTACACTGTCTCAGAGTATACCCACTGTTCCCCAGGCTTTGCAAATCCCCCCTAGCCACTACGGCAGTGCTAACAACACCAACTTGTTTATTCGTCCTTCTCCTTCACAAAGCCCACAGCCAGCTCCTTGGTCCTCATCAGGAGCACAAGTCTATCAGCATCAGCAGTCTCCGTACAGCACCCCCACATATGGCTCTCCTTACAGCTCTCCTCAGCATCAGGTCCAACCTCAACCTCAGCCCCAACACCAGCAGTATGTTTTCGTTCCTATTACCTCCCCAACTCTTCCAAGCATCCCCTATCATCACCAGCAACAACCCCCACAACAGCCTTCTGTTTATAGGCCGTACCATACAAAAAGCTCCCTCAAGAACCAGATTGAAATTACTCTTCCAAGACCACGCAGCAACTCTCCTGTGCATACCCAGCACCCCCAGGGAGCACATTATATGGCTCCCATCTCCTCGCCTAGCTCTCCCTCAAGGGGTGTCTCAATGACGGGACCTGCTACCCCTGCACCGTATCACCCGGGGATGTACCTGCCTGCAAGACCACGGCCTGCGTCCTCACCTCAGCCGGCCCAGTCGGCCTACACCCTTAAAATTAAAGTGTCTCCGGGTGGCCAGGCTCAGCGGCCATCCAGCTCTCCTCCTGTGGCTGAAGCAGAGTCTCTTCTCAACATAGTGGATCAAGGGGAGAACAGTGCCGCTCCACCACCTATCCTCCCAATCTCTGCTTTACCTGGAACTGCCACCAGCCAGTTCCAACACATGCCACGGCGCTCAAGCTCAGGGTCTGATGACTATGCTTACACCCAAGGTACCAGCACGGGCTTGAATTTGAATCTTGTTATTGTTGTTCACAAAAATGATGTGAAATTACATGTTTTATAATACTGCTCTCAAACCTCCCAGCTCTGCTACTTCATCAGCGAGCCAGAATGGAGCGTCTAATGAAGGAGCTGAAGGCTGAACGACAGAAACTTGAACAACTGAAGGCTGACGTCAACAACATGGAATATGACGCACTTCAAAGACGCTTTCGACGTGTGAACACCACCAGTCTACTTCCAAGGGTAAGAGTAACTCAAATATTCTGTGGATGAGTAATCAAATATCTTTTATTAGAATAGTTTAGTGTTATAAAGTTTTAGTAACATAGTATAAATTAAATTTGTATTTTTCTTAATCTAACTTGCGTGTGTTTATTCATGGCCCCTCACAGCCTGAAGAAATGACCCGATTGAGGACACTGAACAGAAAGCTTCAGATTGATATTGACTGTACCCTAAAAGAGACTGATTTACTGCAGTCTAGAGGTATATACTCTGAACTGTGAACACAAATATGCTTGAATACACAAATAAACCTTTGAAGTGTAACTGAAAACATTGATCTTGAGCCAAGGATAGAAGCTGACAAGTTAGGACAGTGATGTGGTGAAGCAAGCTTAAACACAGTGGATAAATGTTTGAATTGTTAAGCTTAGTTTCTAATCACAAGATGTAGTTCACATTTTACCAAGATCTATACAATATTATGTTTTCATAATGTTTGATTTGACAGTTGATATACAGTACTGCAAGCTTACCTAAATTGAAGGTCTAAAAGTCTGTTTCATAACCCATGAGAGATAGATGCATTTACAGTAAAATGCATCAATACCATTAAAATATGGCAACAGCAACAAATAGAAAATTAGGCATGCTGCAGTTGTATCACTATTGTTTTATTTGTTTTATTATCTTTTATCTAACAGGAAAATTTGACCCAAACGCAATGAATGACTTTTACAAAAATATTCAGCCTGGTCCAGCTGTGCTGCCCAAACCTTGCAAGAAAGGTAAGCAGACCTTTTGACAGTATTTCTATAAAAAAACAAAAAAACACAAATTCCACATTTTATGTCTTTTCTTCTGTTTGAACCATAAACAGCTATGTTCAATCCAAGATGGTAGCCTCTAATTTTGTAAAATTATATGCAATGAATAAAAAAAAAAAAAATCTGTTTTAGAAGAAGAGCAGGCCTCTAAGCCAGCACCGCAGCCCCAAAGGGATGAGGACTTCGAAGGAGCTCACTGGAACTGTGAAAGTTGCACTTTTCTCAACCACCCTGCTCTTAATCGCTGTGAAGAATGTGAGATGCCCCGCTTCACCTGAACTAAAACTCTGCTTTACCCGAGTCTTAGCAAGCCTTGGATACTGTCGGCTTTTGCTCTGTCTGAATCTGCATCTTAAAGGAGACCTTTTCCTGGCAATCATAATATAAGCCCTGATGGCCTGCTGTAAAAACACATGTCCTGCTGCCCTGAGACTTGTGCACTTTCTCCCTGGTTTTCAATGGCGATGTGTGTTGTAAGTGTACAAATGTGTGAGGAACTGAGCGGTAGGAGAACTGCTCCGCTGTACCTACAGAACATTCCAAGCAGAATGAGAGACTGCCCTGTTTACACAACTGTGCCCATTCCTGAACTCAGACCAGAGGCACTTCCTCATTAACAGGGGAACTGTATCCTCTTTCACCGTGAGACAATAAAACGATATTCTGAAGTAATGCGAAATGTAGACTGTACACTGTATCTGGCTCTTTATTGGAGCTTGTTTCACTGAAAGGAGATTTAAAAACACTAAAGAGACATGCATTTAAGTATAAACTATACTTTTGTGCATATAACATGACCATGTATTATGTGGAAGACAATGGTGTCTTGTGCAAATGCCTCAACTCGCTGTACTTAATAAAGGAACTGATTCTAGGTGGTTTGACCACACATTGGGGTATTTTGAAACTGTATTAAGAAATATCAGTTTTTTTGCAGAGTATTTTTTTTATTTTAGTAATAAACCTGTAATAATCAAACAGTAGCTTGTTTACAGGCCACCATACATTTGGAGGCATTTCATACAAAATACCTGAACTATTTAAGTGCTAGCTCTGCTCCTATGAAGTTTAGAAGAAATGGATTTTCACTTCAACTCCTGATTGACAGAGGGACAGTACAGTCACAGGTATGAGAACTATATGCTTATAGATACAACCTTTAATCTATCAAGGTCACAGTTCATCATAACTGTTTACTCCTGCTGTGTTGACTGACACATCACATGGGTAGGGTTGTGAGCACATGGTGGGCTATCATGCAGATGTGCACATGATCTTTATTTCACTACTTTCTACTACTGAAATGAGTAATACAATATTTACAATGTTTATTTTTATAATGAATACAATTTATATCCATTATTTGGTAATACTACTACTTTTTAAATACATATATCAGGATCTGATATGTGTGGATATGCACAGCTACCCTAAAATCATATGTTAACCCCATGAAGACATTTGCAGCTTATCAGTTTTATTTACTAACTTAATGCAAAATCATGATCTGTTATGTTTGGTTTTGTTTATTTAACCAGTGTCTAAAGGATCAATCAACCTTTCTTATGCCCACACACTCGAAACCGGTATTGGTTCTAAGTAATTCTAACAACATTTTGGTTCCTTATGCAATGCAAAGCTACACTTTGATCTGTCGCCCTGAAGCTACAGATTTTCAGATTCTGATGGAGCAGTCCTTTTGTCTGAAGGCTTCAAGAACATCCCTTTATGTGTTGACTTTAATAATAGTCTTCATAATTCTTTGGGTTGAGGCAGTAGAGGATGGCACCTCCGGACGAGAAGATGGTGGATCCCCAAGCCAGACCATAGCCCCAATTGAACTCATGGTAAACCCTCAAGCTGACAGTCTCAATAAATTTGATTGGGAAGAGCACCAAGCTGCACACCTGAAGCACCACTGAAAGACAGAAAGGATATATGTTAATGTATATAACATACATATTACACAAAGGAGGCAAGACACAGGTGAAGTGAAATATATTATCTATCTTGACATCATCAGGTGATCTGAGGAATGTACTTTAACATTTGGGGGGGGATATTATTTTTTAATATATATTTTTTAATCAGGATATTAATTCCAGCTATACCTGCAGAGAAGAGCATGACAGCCACGAGTTTATAGCAGTGACTCCGGGACCCGATGCACAGAGACACCAGGGCAACGAGGAGCGAGAGCAGGGTGAGCACCGCACCTCCCAACAGCAGGGCCAGTGTGGCAATGTGCCAGTCTGACACAAACACAAGGACAGACAGGGGCACAGGGGGGACAGGGGAGAGGCATGAAATCACACTGAGGCAGCAGATGACACAGGTGCCTATAAAAAGAGGTGACTTCAGAGAACTGTCTCCTGATGACAGAAAAGAATGGTGATGCTCGATAAAATAAAATAAAGATATCTTTTCAGACTGCACTAGTAAAACTTTTAATGTCAACATTTTAATTACAGTTCCCAGAAGGAATCACTGCAATAATACTGAACAAAATAAAAGTCACTGAATATTCTTTCAATGTACATTTCAGAAAAGCTGTAGAAAGTCATGTTTTATCAAAGCCACACGAGACCTGCACGGCCAGTGGCAGAGTAGTGATTCACACAGTGAAATAGATTAAATGAGCATAGTTTCTGGATGAGCAAGAACAGTTAACAAAAATGTGCATGGGTTCACACAGAGCGCAGCGTAACGGATCTCAATGCAGCAGAAAAAGGCCAAGTGATTCTGCGAAGTGACTCAGATAATGAGCATCCTGCACACTTGGATTGTTGCAAGCTCAGCAGCATTCTCAGCGTTTCATCCAGATTCCCCCTTAAAAAGTCCCAATCAAGTAATGGCTGGGAAGGCACAAATATGATAATGACATTTAGTTAAGTTTGTCAAATTCAGCAGAGGTATGATTTGAGCCTGGCAGTGCTCTTAGATTGTAGTTTTCCATGATTTTTGATTGTCACCATTGTCAAAGCATGGGTCTACGTAAACAGGCTATGAGAACAGCGTATATAATGAAGAATAAAACTATCTGAAGACATAGTGTTTTTTAAATAAATATCCATATTGTTTTTTTTACTAGATGGTATGGATAACAGTTACAGACAAGATATGTACTTGGCCAAGAATATTATCTTGAAGGCACAAAGTAATTGAGAAATAGTAGAACATTTGCTTATTAAAGCACTGTTCCCACTACTGTTGGAGACTTTATATTGCAGGGGCCAGGCAGCTCAAATATACACAAACATGTACTACTTTTGACCAAATATGGTTCAGGGTTTGGAGTTTAAAAATGGGCCTTGTCACCACAGGAAGTTGGAGAGAACCCACGAAAAGCACAGCACTCATTCCTTAGTTTAAACAACACAAGAGCTGACCCTTAACTGACCACCTCCTCAGTCTTTGACCTGTGCGTGTCCTGTCCCATGTGTAGTCAGATGTCTGCTCTGGGTCAGTGTACTCTTATCACTGCTCTCATGATACTGCAGGATACATGCAGTCATATTATCTCACAGTTAGGGGCTCTTGAGGCTGCACAAGAAGCACGGCCAAAACTCAGTGCTAAGAGGCCTGATGAGCCGGAAGTGCCAAACTATTAATCTGGAGCCTGCAGGATGACAGATGGAAAAAGGAGATACAGCACACAAGATTCAATCAGGGCATTAATTACAGCTCCCTGTGTCCGTGCGGGCTACTGCTGCTGAAGAAGAAGCTGCTAATCGAAAACTCCTCCAGGCTCCAATTTGGTGTTTTTGACTAAGACAATAGTGCAGGATCTGTGTCAGAAAAGCGCCTGTAGTCTACTTCTAGTGTGAGACTGAGTTGGGAGTCAAAACTGTGCGAGTGTGTTGAAAAAAACATTGTTAATAATATTATATTATATTATAATGAAACAATAATTTAAATTTGTAAATTTACAGCTCAAATTTGGACAGGGTAGCACAGTGTCTCCACATTTGTCGCAGGGCTCACACCGGCCCAACATGAACACTCACCACCCTTGCAGAAGTGCGCCACATTCCTTGTGTCAAGTCTGTATCTTTTATTCGTGACCTGTGACTCCTTGCTGTCAGGAATCTCAGAATGAGATTGTTTTGAGGTAGATAATTTCAAGAGTGTGTGATGTAGAAGACTGCAGGCAGGGTTAACTAAAATAATTTAATGCCCAAACATGACACAGAAAAAATACCATGATGGGTCAAGGGTGGAGTCAAAAATGAAGAGAGGTAGAAACTGATTACCACGATTCAAATCAATAAGGCTAGGCCAGCACAAGGCTACGGAAATGGGCATTTGGCTGTGTGCATTAAGTGTGGTATGCTACTGCTGAGTGTCTTTATATGGCACCAAAGTGCACTTTGTCTCTGCTGACGGAGAAAGACCAGTGTGTATCAGACTTACTCTTCTCTCCGGCACTAAGAAAATATTTTGTCCGACTAACAAAAACAGTTCTGTGTTCGCTGAGCAGGAGGAGGTCAAAGTAGCAGCGTGACTGTTGTACATGTACACATAATGATCCAAGTCAGAGTATTTGAGTCAATGGTTTGTCTGAACATAAAGAAAATCAATATTATGTTGTAATGTGAGTTAACTTGCACTAACTGCATAAAAATAGACATAATAATGATATGTTGAAATGCATTAATAAAAGCAATCAGTAATATGGATATAATATGATCTTTGCATAATCTATATTGCGATTTCTTTAATAGCAGAAGGATGCATCTGTGGAGTGCTTCTCTTGTTTCCCTGGTTACTAATCTTCAGGCATCTGGATCTCTGGGGAGTTCTCTGCTCTGGGTTGCCCTCACTCCTTAGCCAGTGAAGTAACCCACACAAAGGCTCATTTTGTGTGCAACAAAAGGCCAAATGAAACCCCAGCTGGACTGCTCCTGGTGAGCAGAAATTCCCACATTGCTCTGAAAAGTATTTTGGATGTGCCAAAAGCCCATACAGCCCATACTTTGGGAGCAGGTTCACGGTGTTCAGTGTTTTTCTTTTTCCTCTCTCTCTCTCTCTCTCTCTCTCTCTCTCTCTCTCTCTCTCTCTCTCTCTCTCTCTCTCTCTCTATCTATATATATATATATATATATATGAAATTTTTAAAAATATTTTTCTATAACGTCACTTTGCAGAGTTAAATTGAATTAAATTCAGTTTAACTTAGCTGTAGCTAATTATGAAGCAATTCGAAATTTGCACTCCAGAGACTTGTGTTTTATCATTTTCAGCAACTAATAGAATTGGTTCTGCTCTGAATAGTCTGCTGGGAGCTTTTGTTATTCCTGCCCTCCGCGTCTCACTTTCATTTGAATATGAATGTCGGGCTCATGTGGTTCTCCCCGTGATTCGTGAACAAAACGATTTATTTATTTTTTTTACATATTTTGCCTCCAAGTTTTAGGTCTCCCTTTTTGTTAAAATAAACGAATAAATAAATAAAATAAAAAAGACGTAACTATCATCTTAATGCTAAATCACACAAGACTCACCCGTGGTCAAAGTGCTGTTGCAGGACCACTCCACATAGCTGACAGGTTTCCAGCAGGACGTCCACATTGACAGGTAGTACTGGTCATCTGCAGTGACCCACGCTGGACTGAGTAAAGCCCCAGCATCCAGGCACAGCGCGAGGAAGACGCACATAAGCCCCACCAACTTCAGGGGCGTTAGTGAAGACACGCGCACCTCCTCAGTGCCACTTACGGACGAAGACATCGCGGGTGCAAAGTCATTAAAACCACTGGATTATTTTAACAACAAACATCAAAGTTTTATAATAAAAGATCAGGTGTCGGGAGTGAGTGATCTCGCAATTGTCCGGTTGAGGATGCAGGATGCGGAGCCGCGCGCACTCCACTCTCGGACACTACCGCTCTGTTCATCTATGGTTCATCCACCTCTCTGCCTCTGAACTCACTGAAACAACGCTCTGTCTACGGGGTCCTAGCGCCGCCGAAACTAAATTAGTCATCATAGCATAATTAAATCTAATGTACAAAACATCAAGCCTATCATGGCCTAAGAAGTTCTACAAGTTCTACAATAAAATGAGAGAGCAAGAGGGCTACTAGCCTTTTTTTTTTTTTTTTTAAACGTAATGCATTACTACTTTATTCTGAAGATGTAATTTATTCAGCAACTAAACAATAGGGAGGAGTGCTAGCAACATCACCATAGATTGTGATCACAAAAACAAATAGCCTAATGAAACGCCAACATGTTGTAAATTGTTACCGAGTCATAGATATTAAACGGTCTATTATGCTCTTTTCTGATCTATTTCTGTTTTTTATTTCTGTTTCTTCATCAAAAGCACAAGTTGTGTTTATTTCATTTACACATGTCCTCACACAAATCCTGCATATGCTGAGTTCCTCTCTAAAACAGAAAACACTCTGTTCCACCTTGTGATGTCTTGCAGTAATACTTAAGTAGTGCTTAAACTCCATACATTTTCACCAGAATCCTTTGGATGATTTCAGCCCAATCTCTACAGAACAAAAGCTAAAAGGTAAACTTAAAAACTACCATGACATGACATCACAAGGTGGAACAGAGCATTTTGTGCTTTGGAGATGTAGACAGACCAATGCTGGATTACTCAAACGTGTGAATGAAACAAAACACAACTCCACACTCCAGGTATGTTTTTGATGAGGTAACAACATTATAACATGGCTTTAAGATCACAAGAGTAATTTTTTTGCATGATATAAGACCTTTACAAAAAGAAAAGAAGAAACATTTTTCTCTTTTTATAATACACTTGTTCACTTTGGCCTGACTTTGGACACTGTTTGAGATGCTGACATTTTACAGGCTTGTTTTTATATTCGTTTTTTATATATGTTGTTTTATAGTGCTTATTGTTTTAATTGTTATGTTTTGTAGCACTTTCTACTTGTGTTGTGTTTAAAGTGTGTTATGAGTTGCGGTTGCATTTTTACCTAATTAAAAGTCCTTGTGATTTTTAAGGTAGCCTACTTCCGAGTCCGTTGTCTCCATCTGCTGCCTCCGTGTGGAAAACCAGCCTTACAATGTGGCGGATCTGACCCGAAGCCCAGAGGGAAAGCCTGGAGAGTACTTTTTAAAATATCCTGGCAGCGTTATAGAGAAAATGAAAAGGCTGATTCCGTTCCCTGACAGGATATTATCATAGCTCTATCGCTGAAAGTTAAAAATAAATAAATAAAATAATTAGGGGTGTCAAATTATCGCGTTAATTGCGATTAATTAATTACAGTCATATTTAGCGCGTTGTTTTTTAATCGCGTTAAGATCATTTTTAATCTCTAACTTTAGTGTATCTGTATGCGAGTTGCTTTATTATAAAACCTGTTTTTATGTATTGTTGGGACAACATCAACACACAAACACACACAAAAAAAACACATTTATACATTTTTTTATTTCGGTAATTCCACTCATTGCCGGAAACCCCCACAAAACGCGCGCAGTAAGAGCGATGTAAACGTCATGTTAACGTTTGAGGCGTCAGTCACACAATGGACGAGGTCGAAGAGCCAGTAGAACAGAGGCAGCAGTGCACAGGTAAAAACACATTCGTGTCTAGGAAATTATTCTCCCGACGTGAAATATAAAAGAAAATAACAAATATAAAATCGCCTACAACTTAAATGTCACTGGTGAAAACAACCTGCATAGGCTCATGATGTCTGCACTACTGTCCTATAGTGACCTGCCACATGAGGGGACACGCACACAAACACACACAAACACACACACAAACAAACACACACCTTCGTCATCGTCATTAACCTGAGAACGCGCGGACCACGTTTCCTTCCGTAGTTACTGCGCGGACACCGACGTGCTCCCGTGAGCCGCGTGTGCATCGTGTTTTCTCGTGTACGCTGCGTAAACCGCGCTTCCTCCTGTGAGCCTCTAAACCAGAACTAACACCAAGACTAAAACCAGGACTAATCCAGTCCAGGTCTAAACCAGAACTAAAACCAGAACTAAAACCAGGTCTAAACCAGGTCTAAACCAGGACTAAAGCAGGACTAAACCAGCACTAAACCAGAAATAACACCAGGACTAAAATCAGGATTAATCCATTCCAGGACTAAAGTAGGACTAAAGCAGGTCTAAACCAGGACTAAAACCAGGACTAAAACCAGTGATCTCATATATAAAGCATTTCTCTATCAATAATATTTTTAATATGGTTAAGGTAGTATTAAGGAAAGACTGGACTTTTTATTGTCTTTAAGTAGACAAAAGTTATTATGTTCAGATTTCCTTGTCTTTGCTACTTTACAGCAAACAGTTTCTTATTCATGGAGACTTGGGCTCAACAACCAATTTGGAGAGATTTGTTAAACAATAAATTACTTTATAAAGTCACTTTTTTTGTTCTATATCAGTCTTTTGATCTGCCACAATAATGTAATAATGAATTTAAATGAAAATACCTCAAATTGAAGGCTTTTCTCAGCAATTTTTAGGTGAGATTAAAATGAGATTAATTAGATTAATTAATTACAGATCATAATTAATTAATCTCTAAATTTTTTTAATCGCATGACAGCACTAAAAATAATACTAATAATACTAATAATACTACTACTACTAATATATATATATATATATATATATATATATATATATATATATATATATATATATATATATATATATATATATATATGGACACACTGATAAACTTACCATATATATATATATATATATATATATATATATATATATATATATATATATATATATATATATATATGGACACACTGATAAACTTACCAGCTAAAACCAATCAATGTTGTTTATATAAGCCTAATGTAAGATAGATATATTTCACAATGGAAATTACTTTGACACAGTAACGCACACATTACAATTACCAGCAAAAGATAAACGGTAACAACATTCAGGATAATTAATGGGAAAGATAGCCAAAGACTTGAGAGGCTTAAGTTTGCTCAGATAGCGATATGCTTTTAAGGACCGCAGCTTGACCCCCATGAGTTTGATGGACTGTAGTCTATGGACCAACACAAAAGTAAAAAAGAAGAGGAAATAGCAGGTGTTCTGACGCTGTCCCTGGATTTATTGGCTAAATGTTTCACGACTTCTCTGGTTTCAGTAATGTAGGCCTTTCTGTGTATGTGTCGTGTGCCTTTAATATCACAGAGGCTGTTTGACCCACCGCAGAAACACCAGTGCGCATGCGTGCTTGGCATAGCAACACTTTGAGACAGTAGCGCAGGACGGGAGGACTGTGTTTGCATTTGGGGACATACACAGGTAAATATAACTGTTCATTCTTTTCATTACGTGTGTAATACTACATATGCTTTCAGCATTGTTGAAGCCTATAATACCAATAAGTGTAAACTGCGTTCGGTACTTAGTTTACGTTTATTCCCATTAAAAAATCAGACACGAAGCTGGAGAGGAGCACTCATCCTACAAATCATCAGCGCTTGTCAATACACTGGGCTGGTCAAGCTGCCCGTCGTGCTAAGCAGTGATGTTACCTCGAGTAAACTAGTTAACCTAATTTCAGTCTTAATCTGATTTAAGAATAAAATAGTAGTTACATATGCTTATGGACATTGTAGCGGTGGTGGCGCCTTGTTTGCGCTCGTCTACTCCCTCTGATCTATTTCCAGGGGACATGAAGAATTCCCGTAACAGCCATGTGAAGGCTGAAGCCGCCATTGGTCAAGGACGAGTGTCATGTTTGCGACCCTTTGTCACTGCTGGAAAAAAGAAATATGAACTCCTTATACACAGACTTTAGTGTCATTTAATTAAACTGCTCACTTGAAATGAGCGTATGAGCAGTTATAGTTCTATAAATCCTTAATCTACCAGTCCACTGTTTTGCAAAATCTTTTTTTGCAAGTTTTTGTCTGTTATGTGAATTTGTGTGATCCCATACGGATCACTGTTCAGATGATGTACATATAACTTACTAACAGGCTATTGTGTTTCTTTTGCAGCTCACCCCAAACAGTCCTACCCACAGTATGGGGAGTGGTGAGTCACTTTCATATGAATTATATTGTACTGCACAAAAAAAGTAGCAGGGCACACTCGTTTTCACAGAATTTCCCCTTCAGTATCTTTTGTATTTTAACCTACTCCAGTTTCGTTTTTCAGGTGTTTGCAATATTCATCCCTCAGAGGAATGCGACTTTTCAGGTTTTTTTAATCCACTCTCCACACACTAGTTCTAAATTTTCTCTTGGATTTTTAAATTTTTTTAGGCCCTCAACTATTCCATTTTGGTGATAGCCACACTTTACTAGTTAACTACACATCAAAAAGCACTCATGATCAAAATATACTGGAGAGAAACCACAAAGCTTTTGTAGTGCTTTTCTTTTTATTCAGAATCTATGAACAGCAAAACTATTATATTATAGCTATTATATCGCTATTGACACAGTTCTTCACGAATACTCTCACTCTGGTTGTCTATGGTTCTTTTTCAAACAATGTAAACTTGTATTTTTGCTCATAATGCTCTTCTCTAACTCCGTACTCTTCCTTCTTGTTCACAGTGTTCTTGCCAGCGGATGCAGCCCACTCGGTGCTGCGCCGACTGCGCAGGGCCAACTCCATGTTAGAGGAGATGAAGCAGGGGAACATCCAGAGGGAGTGCCGTGAGGAGACCTGCACCTATGAAGAGGCACGAGAAGCTTTTGAGAATGACGAAAAGACGGTGAGGATATTTAATGTTTTAAGTTTGTGTAAGACCAGTGGAGTACAACATCAACTATATTACTATTACTATTTTCGGATCTATGTTATAATCAAAACAGACACAGAGATGTGTTTTGTTTTATTCACAGATGTTTAACATGCAAATCCTGCATACTTAGGCTGAGTTCCTCTCTTTAACTGAAAACACTGTATTCTACCTTGTGATGTCATGTGGTAATACAGGAAGTGCTCCACTGTGCTTTTAAGCTCAATACATCATCACTAAAATTATTTGGATAATTTCAGCTGTAGCTGTTATCTTGAAAACTACCACTACAAAACATAACAAGGTGGAACACAGCATTTAGAGATGCAGACAGACCAGAATTACTCAAACCTGTGAGAACAAAACAAAACACCAGGTGTGTTTTTGAAGGGTAACAAAAGCTCTCAAGACTAAATTTTGCATAATATAGGACCTTTACATTTGTTTCAGTATGTCTGTGAAGAAAAACTCATAAATCCCCTCAAAGTTTTCCAATGTTTTAGGGACAGTTTCATGGAATGTGGAGTTTTCAGAAAGTGATGGTTATCAGCAGGAAGAACAAACCAGTGTGTTCGGGGAGATGGGAGGGGTGGAGTAAAACTATTGTGAGGCTGCATTCACACATGTGGACGTACACAATCATGTAGCCACTTTTGTTTGACCTTTGTCCCCAGTAGTGCCATATAAATCCAGAGTTCACTCCAAATAGTGCAACATTGTTTTGTGTTGAGGTTGAAGTTTGATTTTTATCTTACTTTCTGTGTGTCTCTAGAAGCGTTTCTGGGAGGAGTATGTGCAGGAAAGTAATCCATCCGGTGGGCTGGACACAGTTGGAGCAGTCAAGTCCCTGTACTTAATCGTGCCATTGTTGCTGGTGGTTCTAATCATTGCTATTATCGCCATCACTGTCTGGCGCTGCCACTTCCGCAAACATCCGCAGCGCAGCCCGAGCCTGGGACACTCTCACCATGACCACGTCCTTTCAGTGGTCTCTATGGACGCTTGGGGGCGTAGTTATCCTCATGGTGACCAATCAGAACTGAGCATCCACAGCAGTCCAGCTCACGGTGGCGGATCAGAGCCCACCACATACAGAGGCAGTGCTGCAGACCCCCCTCCATCATATGAGGAAGCGGTGGGTCATACAGATGTGCAGATAGAGAGTGAGCCACCCCCACAGTACGATGATATTGTCAACACCAGCACTGCATATGTCATCAGCAGCCGTGCAAAGTAAAAAGCTTTATTAGCTGCAGACTGTGGCAGTGGACTTTTAGCACTCCTGTAACATCACCAGCCAACCCAACTTGCTAAATGGTTTTGTCTTTGTTGGAGCCGTTCTTGAATTTGCACTAACCTTTTTTGTCATTTGATACTAAGAACAAAAAATTTTGATTAATGAATTAACTTAATTTAGGTTCTTACAGTCTAGCAAATGGTTGAGTGGGCATAAATATTGTTGCATGTGACAGAATAGGTTGAATTGCCATACGTTTGCAATAATAATATGCAAATAGAAAATGCATTGTTGTTGGGCAGTGCCAAACACTTTCTACTAACTTAAGTTACATGAGTTATTACAGTTAAAGTTAAAAAGGTTTGTAGTTTGTAAGAAACAAATTATTTTATGCTCAGAAACATCATGAGTTATGTCTAGTGCGTTTGAAACAAAGCGCTCAAATCAAAACAATAAAAACAAATGCATACATTTGTCTAAACCTTTGATGTTGCAGTGTAATATAAAATGTAAATACTGTATATGCTATGTGAATCTATGCAGCCAAGTAGCAGTGCTTGGAGTTGTTCATAATTAATGGCCTATATTGATTACTTGTAATGGTGGCCAGGGAGCCTAACTGTGAAAGTCCCTCTAGTGTCTCCCTCTTATAGAAAAATGTAACTAATATTGGCTACAGAACTACAGAAACATTAGTTATTCTGCCCATACTAACTGTGCACTAAAGGTGGAAGAAAGAAAATGGGAAGAAGGAAAATGAAAGGGAAAGGCAGTAGTGGACAGGTGATGCAAAATGACATTGTAATATTTATTCCTTATGAAAACTGTTTAGATTGTATAATCTAATTGTATATAGAATGGGTTGTGTGTATGAATGACATCTACATTTACTGCTTGTGAATGCAGTAAATGCACATACATGCACTGTATTAAATTGATTATGTAAGCACTTTCTGAAGCTCATTTGAGCTGTTATGAACTATAGGATGGTCTGGCTTGCCAATGTCTTTTCAAGCAAAATGTTTTATGCAATAATGCTGCATAAAGTCCTACAACCAGATACCTTTACCTAACGTACACTGAAGCTGACTCCACACCAGCACTGCTTTAGTTTTTACTGTACCTTTGAGATGATTCTGAACCTCAGCACTTGACACATTCTGACAGACTTGTATACTTACCAGTAATGTGATCTAATGTACTGTTCATTAAATCTACTATGCCTTATACTGAATACGATATGTTAACTCTAATGCAAAGAATATGGTTTAATATTGTGTTGAAGCTTGAAATATTTGTCTAAATAAACATTTCACTTTTCTAAACTCATCTTCTGACTCAAATCAAAGTCCAATAACTTCCCTAAACTGACCTTGTTTGACCACAGCAAAAGTACCACTTCATCAACACACCATCCAGACCCACATACATAACATATTTGTTTCCATAACACCTTTTATTTTTTTTAGCATAAATGTCCAAGGTGCACATTGGTTCACAAGAATAAAGTCATCTTTACAAATTAAAACATTTGCAGATATAGATGACTTTAATTATAATCCCCTATAATAAATTCAGCAACAAAAGTGGCACAAAAATAAACAATATGCTAGTGCATTATTTGCATCATCTAGTAACAAAGAAGAAATAAAATACAAGAACTGACATAATTAAATTTTATTTATTTAATGTATTAGCTGCTTGGCACATAGATCAAATCAAACAGGTCAACAATGGTAAAAAATATTATTTAGACATTAACATATTACACCCACTCCTTTGGGTTTCGTAAAACGTCCAGCATTTCAGCCTCACGAGTCCCTTTGACAGGCTCATGCATGTACTCCCACCTGAGTATGAAAAGATGTTACCATGCAACACAGGAGCCACATTTCAGACACACAAAAAGGCGCAATTTGCATAATGGTTATCTTACCTGGCAGTAAGAGGAAGGGACATAAGGATGCTCTCTATTCTAGAGCCTGGTGTTGCCAATCCAAACTTCACACCTCTGTCATATACCAGATTAAATTCAACATACCTGTAGAAGAGATACAACATTAGACAGTCTGTCCCACAGTAGTCATTAAATGGTTTTGAATATGAACAGCAATAAGCAAAAGGAGGAAATGTGTATTGTGTATACAACATGTGTTGTAGTGTGTTATTTCACATGTTTACAGTGAACAATGATGATCTTCTATTACAAACGTTAATTTCAAAATGTTAATCCAACAGATAGTAAGCATTTGGGATATAAACAATGTTACACAATGTTAATCATTACTGTGTGTTAAAATTTAGTCAGATTTTCATCAAACTTAACTTGACTTTCTTTTCACAAAATTTGTGACATGGAGGGCAGAGGGCATTATGAACCCTACTCTGGTAAACTTTGCTCACCTTCCTCTGCGCACTTGCTGCCAGTCTTTCTCTTCTTGTGTAAAAGAGTCATTCAGGTGTTTGTAAACAATGGGCAGATAACAAGGCACTACAGTACGTGCACAGCTCTTTACAAAGCTGAACACTTCCTCTTGACTAGGGGAGTCCAAGTCATCGAAGAAGATTCCCCCAATACCACGAGTCTCTCCTCTGTGCCGTATATAGAAGTATCTGTCACACCTAAAAACAAAGAGTGAAGAAACATTTATCGGTAGTATAAAAACCACAATAAGGCCTAACATACAACATTTTTTATTTGATTTGGTAAAATAACCGCCAAGCCCAGACCGGCCAAAGACACACACCCATTCCCTTAAAATTATTAAGTCACTGATGATTAACTTCAGAGTTCAACGGCTTTTCTGCAACAGCAAAGATTTTATTCTTATCACCAACTCCCAGTAAGGATACACCCTTTGAAAAACTCCCCTTAGGCCTAAATGTAAGTCATGTGGTTATTCATATGCTATTTTCTATTCATTTAACACCATACCATTCTTTGAAGTTGGGGTAATGTTGTGAATGATGTTTATCACAAGCATCCTTTAAAGTTTTGTGGAAATGAAGGGCATCTTCTTTGTTTATGTAAACTGGAGTTAGGTCAGTGCCTCCACCGAACCACCACTGCTTGGAACCTTACAAAAACACATTTACAAGGGCATAGAAAACAAAGGTTGGCATTCAATGTACACAATAGAGGAATTGAAACACAAAGCATTACAACATCTCCAGTTAAGAGCACATCTACTCACCATCTTCCTCTTCAACCTCAAAATATCTGTAGTTGAAGTGTACTGTGGGTATGTGAGGATTTTTGGGGTGAATAACAGAGCTTACGCCCATGGCAACAAATGGTAGTTTACCTGAAAATATGGAATAACATTTTATTACGCATAAAGTATCTTTATTTCTGACATCCTATACTTACCATCTTTGCCTTTGAGGACTTTACCCCTGCTCCTCATCTGACGGGCTGCTTCTTCCGTCAAGTTTCCAAAAACCACTGAGACATTAACACCAGCTTTCTCAAACACCTTCCCATCCTGCATCACACAGCTAATTCCTCCACCGCCTGAACATCACAAACAGATCCAATACGGGATAAGTCTGCATCTTAGCTGAAACTATCAAAAATGTCACATTAAACCTTTCACCTTCACTCCTATCCCAGCGGTCCACTTTAAATTTGCCACCATCCACCTCCTCTAGAGCTTTACAAAACTCGGCCTGGGTCTCCATAATCAGCATCTCCATCCTGGTCCGCATTTCATCCTTTTTTCTCTGAAGCACGTTCACGTCTGTCACTGGTGGAGACATGAACCCCCTGCACCTCTCCAGGATGTCCCCCTCCTGCTCCCGCACCTCCGGCACTGGAACGACTCTCGTTGCCATTTCAGCCCGCTGAAAGTGGCTTGCGTTAGCTACAAGACCCGCTACTGCAGCTGAGACCACAGCGGCTCCGCCGAGAGCCAAAGCTCTCCTCCCAATTCGGCTGGTCGCTGATTTGCCCGTGGTCCCATAGGACATGAGCCGAACACCAGTGCCTCTGGAAAACCATCCCGCTCCCGGAAGCAAAGTGCAGGGCACACTGTGAGCAGAGGATAGCGGTCCACTTGAACAAGCTAAGCTCTTGAAATGAGCGCCTGCACATTGCCTTGTCGCAGTCCGAGCCGTTTTGCAAAGGACAATGGTGGCCATGTGTAAACAGTAGCCTCGCGCTTACAATGTGAAGCGATGAAACAGATGAATCAGTTTTATCAACTGCTCAAAACATACCAGAAGTTGCCTACGTGCGTTATCACTCGACCGTCTACAAGGAGGCGTGTTGCTCTTTGGCCGTGATAGATGCATCTTGGGAACTGTAGTCACTGTCTTCGGTCTTCTATTTTATTTAATTTCCAAGTTTAACTAACTGAACTACATTAGCCACAAAGCAAAGAGCTACAATGAAACGCCCGACCAACCGTAGAGTTGTCAGATGGTCACATGGATGATGGTCAAAAAAACTGCGCTCGAGCTAAATTTAACATTTTATTAACATGTAAGTAAATATGCTTATTATTATTGCGCTGTACAAAGCAGCTAAGCATTTGATTAATAAACCTATAAATACTTTAATACGTTTAATAATACATCTTAGTTATAGTAGCAGATGTTTAGTCAGTGGCAACAAGTGGGAATAACTAGATATTTCATATTTGCACTGCTTAAACAGAAAACAACCCTGGGCCATAAACGTGACCTAAACTTGCATTAATACGCATGCGCGGACTGTAAAGCGTGTTGTGTATCTCCATGACGACGGTTCACATAAAGCCTGCTCTGGGCTGGAGTAGATTAAAGTCTCTGGAGCTGTGTCTGGATAAATGTGGGGCACTGTTGTGGGAAATACAAGGACTAAGCGCACTTTTGGACGTCCTATTTTAGCACTTTTAATTCAAAGAGGTTACAACAACGTAGGCTAAAGTAAGTAGTTTGATAGCCCTGAAAAGGAAACAAAACGGGTGTCTTTCTTTTACATAGCGTTATCATTTATGGTAGCTTTTTAACTTTTTACCTACCTAAATTTAATTTCTCCTTTGGCATAGCTACCATTTTGATAACATTTGGTTGGTCTAATTTATGTTTATTTTCACTGTCTATCTTTGTAAGATTAGGCTATTATAACTCAAAGCTTCAGACACAAACAATACAGACACCCGTGGGGCCTCAAAATAATGTCTTATAATAATAAAATAATAAATGGATTATTTGTTGTTTTCACATTCATAGCTCATCTAGTAAGCCATATGTGACCTAGAACATAGATTATATTAATGTTAATATCATTTACTTTTTCTATATCTTAAAATTTATACACTATTTTGCTTTGCAGCTTGAAAAAACACATCTCTCTTTGTTCATTGGTGGAGAATGAATGAAGTGGTTTGCACCAAGTCACAAGAGGACTATGAGGATGACTTTGAGAAGGACCTGGACTGGCTTATCAGTGAAGAGGGCCGGAGTGAGTATCAGGTAAGCCTTCTCTGGACCACATATCCTGTTTTGGGGGTTTGTCATTGCCCTACTTTGTTGTATTGAATTGACTAATCTATTTACTAAAACCTGCATGGTGGTAGTGTTGCCTCAGCTTCTGACCCTGCTCTGGTAAAGCGTGACAGTGAGTAGTGTTGAGTTACTTGATCGGCTGTATCTTACGACTTGTATGTGAAACCTACTCTGCTGACATGAAGTGACATACTTTCACTGTGCTATGGCTGAATGCAATATTGATGAACAGGCTTACACATACCTGTCCTCACACTAGTCTATTATCTGCTAACTACTCATTCAGCTATGAAACCTGAACACCCTTTCTCTCCACTCACAGGGGCCAAACTATGATGACATTGAGGCGGAAATAGACAAAGAACTAGAAGAGGAACATACCCACACAGTGAAACATAAGGACATGAAACAGAGGGAGGAAAGGAGAGATAACAAAATACTTGAATTAGATGATGAGGAGAGATGGCCTTCACCTATGGACCCTCTTGAATATGACTCAGACAGAGACAGCCCCAGTAAGTCCTCAGATCTAGTACCCCCTCCACCAGAGATAGATGAACAGACAGAGGAGGAAAAGAAGTACATATTGGAGAAAATACAACAAGCAAACCGTGAACTTCAGGACCAAGAAGCCCCCGATATGACACGGCGCAGACGGCTGCATTTTAAAGAGACACTGGTTGATTTAGTTGTACCCCCCATGCAGTTTGAAAAAGACACAGGGAAAAATGAAGACTTGAAAGGGAACAATATGAGTAATAATGACACAAAGGACACACAAGCAGAGAGTGAAGTGTCTGGAAAGTTATCCGAGCTAAAATTGTCACCACGAGAGGACCGACTGTCAAATGCAGATCTGAGAATGACTGGAGACAGCAATGAAGGAGGTATGGAGGGGAAAGAGGGGAGAGTGCTTATTGAAAAGGATGGGAAGTTTGACCTGGTTAGTATAAAAGATGTAGAAAGTCAAGGACTTCTTCCTCCCATCTTAAGTAGTGACAGTACACATTCTTTGTCAAGTATCTCTAGTAAGAAACATTCTGCTTCCTTCTCCCCGCGATCATTTGCCAGTCACTCTTCGTCCAAAAAAGAGGATAAAATGTGCACTCCCAAGCCTCCTTCTCAGCCCCGGGTTAGGCCCAGCTCAGCAAGTCATGGTCTCAGAACGAGCCAGGGCCGAGGAACCAAGCGAAGAGTCCAGTCTGCTACAGGGATGTCCAGCCAGACCACATTCATGCTATCACCACAGCAAAAAGAGATGCTGCTCAAAATCCAGGAGAAAAAGGAGAGACTTGCCAGAGAGGTGAGAGTGTCAGAGGTAATTAAAACAGACTTTAACAAAGCCTCATTAGTGCGAGTGATGCTGACATTCTGTTTTTTTTGTTGTCATGAGTCAGGCAGAGGAGAAAAAACGTGAGGAAGAAGAGCAGAAGAGACAAGAAAATGAGCTGGCATTCAAAGCCTGGCTCATGAGGAAGAGAGAGCAGATTGTGGAGGAAAAGCGGGTACAACGGGCACAGGAAATGGAGAGGATGAATTGTAAGGTGCTGTGCATGTGTATACAAATAAAAAAATGTATAAAAAACAACACTTATTTACAAATCTAATTTCAAGATGTAAAAAAATAATGTTTTTACAAATATGTTTAAAATTATGCAGAAAGACACAATTGATCCAGAGGAGGCCTTCCGACACTGGCTGCAGAGAAAGCAGGAACAGCAGCAGAAAGAGAAGCAGCTGGTGGAGCTGAGGAGACTGGAAGAGGACACTAGTTACCTTCTGCACAGCCGGGAGGACTGTGAGCACGCATTCAGACGGTGAGTTGAGTTTAAGGGTGCTCTTCCATTAAACACACTATATCTGTTTATGGTTTAAACTGTTTCCTGCTATTGTTGCTATGGTTCTCAGGTGGCTGAGGAGGAAGCGTTTAGAGAGGCAGGCGGAGCAGCAGGCCGCTCGGGAGCGCTCTCGGAGGTTAGTATTAGAGGAGAGACAAGCTCGCCGCATGAAAGACCTCATGTGCACTGTCAGTGACGCCAAGCCATTTAGATTCAATGAACAGTTGTCATACCACTTCTAAACCAGCGGGCCGTGTCACTTCAGTGAGACGGGTTTAAATTCAACCTCAGGGACAAAGGACTTGAACAACATTAACTAACATCACAGAGGATTTTGTTTTATTGGTTTAAAATTTTTGTTTTGTAAAGGTCTTGCACTCGTCATTTTCCGGACATAAATTAAATGTAGGGATGCATTTCATCCCTATTGAAGCTAATGCACTTTATTGAAAATGCTGTATTTTATACCTACAAGTTGGGGTAATATTTGAATCCAGCTGCTGTACCTTTTGTACTGTAAGCCTTACAATCATGTTAGACAGAGGCTTATGTGTATTAGACTCAAGGTTAATACAGTACTGCAACGTCACAGTAATTATTTAATAGTATTTTTTATATACCGTACATACATGTGTTTTGTTGTTTCAAATAAAACATGATACTACTAAATAAAGCTGTATAATTTTATTTGCATATACACATACATAAAGTGTATGCTACAACATTTTATTATTAAATATCATAACAGTAAAAGTGGCCAACATCTTGCAACATAATCAACAGAAACCCAATGAGCACAAATAAAATAAAATTAAGATTTACAGTGCATGACTCTGCAAGGACATAGTTATTAAGAAATAAAATATGTATTCCTTGAAACAGGAACGACTGGCATTTGCTTTTATGAAAAAAGCTCATCATATTACTAACAGTTACAGGTGTAGCTGTCTAAAACTTATAAATAAACACCAACTCTTCTCAGTGTACAGGTAAACCAGTTTCTCTGTGCCCCAAGGCATTTTCTCAAAGAATAACAAATAAAGTAAATAAGTACACATTTCAGAGTGCATTCAATGTTCAGCAACAGAGAGTTTGTTCAAACAGTGCACTAGCTAAATAAGAATGACTGAAAAACATTAAAATGTGAATGTAAGTTGTGTACTGACCATTGACATTGTAATTGGAATCATGTTTATCTTCACAGTATACACAACCATTAAACAATAACTCTACGTGTATGTATGCAGACAAAAAAGTCAAGTACTGGTGTGTGGCATCACACATAAAGTCCTTAATAATATAATACATAATTACACTTAATACAAAAATAGACATGTTCTTATCCAAAGGACATTAAATAAATATTAAAATAATAAAGTTATTTTAGTGAGGAGAAGCAAGCATTGCAGTTGTTTGTTTAGAGTTCATCTTTAGGGTTGATGTTGAGACTTTGTGTCCACACTGACTGTGTGTCCAGCGCTTGGATCACTTCATCAGCCTGCAGTCTCTCCTGTGGGAAAATCATTCAAAGAGTTAGGCCTGATATAGAAGCCTTATTGTGAGTACTATGATGAATGAAAGTTAGCTCTTACTAGTTCTCTGAAAAGAGGATCCATGGTGAACCATAAAGCCACTGCACACCTCTGTCCATTGGTCACTGCCTTCACTCCGTGTGGGTTCTCTCCTCCAGATGAGAAACCCACCATTCGACCGCACTTGGGCTTCACTGAGGCCTGGGATAACAACAGTGTCAATGGTATCAGTCTGGTATACATGATTTCATTTTAGGATTTGCTATTATAGGATTTCCACTTATTGCATTCCTGAAGTACTGTCGATAGTAAAATAATTCGGCATAGCTGTATACCCATTCTGACATAAATCTAATCCAAACGTAGGTTTACTGTGGCCTGTCAAAAATCCCCTGTAGTAAGTTAAGAAATGTAATTACCGTGACGGTTTTGGCATCCATTTCTGTGAAAATAAATTCTCCCCCATCAAAATCTCCATTGAGATACAGTAATGCACTAAAAAGGTGAGACATCGTAAGATATGTTAAGATCACAGACCAAAGTAACATCTCTGTATGCATTAGGCCTGTTCTCTTTCTCACCTGTAGTCTCTGTATGTGTAAGCAGGTGGTTCCTTCCAGCATTCATTGGCTTCAGGATCCAACAGGCAGTTATCCGCATGTATAGGATGGCTCAGGTCATTCCTGTGATCTTGCTGACCTAAATAGAAACAAAGCCGAAAGTAAACAAAACTTAAACAAAACCTTCATTAATCTCTTTCAGTAGAAAATATAGACCTGATCTGTGGCACTAACCTGTTATGGCAGTGCGGCACACTAAATGTGTATATGAGAAATGCAGTGTAGAGTTGAGTAGAAAGTAGGACTCGATGATTCTTCTGGCTCTTTCGCTGACCTCATAAAAGAGTCGTGCACTTCTGAGAGGTACTCTGCCCTCGTATCCATACTAAAAGATAAAAGCATACAGCTGTTGTATTGTTGTAGTTATATGACATGTTTTATACCCTTTATATGGGTGAATGTACCTGTAGAGTTTTGAGTACTGTGGCTCCCTCAAACTTTTCATTTGGAGTGTGTGGTGACATCCGTCCTCGGTAACCATCTCCAGCCATTGTGACAGACTGAAGAAAAATTAACAAATTATTATCAACATAAACTTAATAAAACAATAACAATTTCATAATTATGTCATCATGTTTTGAATATATTACATGTGCCAAGTGTCTAAGCTCTGAACACTGTTCCTCAGATATGACACTGTCCAAAAGCACTCTCTGAGATCCATTCAAAGCAGCAGAGTTCTTCACCAGACGCACACTGTCGTACACTAGAGGGCCCCCTGGAGACACGAGAGACTGTCAGAGCCATGTACTGTGTGTCTCACCACAGAGTCTGCAGATGGGACCTGACCTTCTTGCTTTTGTAAAACAGCTGAAGAGATGTTCTTTTTGTTTGAAATAGGAACATATTCCAATCCACCATCAGTACCAGAGGGAATTCTGGAACAAAAAAAAAAAACACAAAATAGAACTGATGATCAAGTAATTACTCAGTGTTGTTATAATACTAAAATTTCCAATTTGATTTCAATACTAAAGATAAGGATTGATGCTACTAGTTTTGATGCCACAAGTAAAAAAAAATAAAAATAAATAAATAATAAATAAATAAAAAAACTTTCTTTTTCCTTTTTTAAGTTTAAGTATCAGTTAGTATCTGGATATCAATTATTTTCTTTCTTTTACTGACTGCACAATATCTTAATAACAATTCTAAGAAACACATCTATGTTTTAATTTTAATGTTTATGCCATTTACCTGTTTGAGTCATCTCTTCCACCTGTGCCACTCCAGTAATTCTACAAATGTAAAATGCATGGCAAGTATTTAATAAATTATGTCACAATATGCACACAGAATAAAAAAAATAAAAAATGCATGTTAATTTAAAACAGTAGCTAGTGTTTAAGAATGCTATGTCATGTCCAGTTGGTGTCACTGTTGGCTCAAAGACTAGCCTTGCCTTTATGAAACACCTGTTACTCTGCCTGCGGTCAGTGACAGTGCAGGCACACCCTGAAGGAGATCTGCTGTCTCATAGACATGCCCTGCAGCTATGTAACAAGTGCCTGATAATGCTGTTTTTCTGACTGAATATAACCTTGTAAGGTAGAAGTATGTTTGTCTTGGCTGTTTCAAATGAACTTGCTAAAGGCGATATTGATTCTCTTACTCACCCCTTCTATAAACTCGGCTCCCATGATTTCACTGCCCATAAGAAGTAGCTCTAGTTCCTGTTTGTGTCTCCTGAGGTACCAAGCAGCTTCCTGTAAATTGCCAATGACAATGACAATAACATTAACAGCAGTATATTAAAATTAGACAAATTATTTGGATGTCATAATATATTATATTAACAAAGAGCAAAAACATTAATGATAATAATACATTCTAAGTAATTAGCAAAAATAGCAAGAGATTATATAAATGTATGTACAGTATAGTTGTTGTACAGCTGGAAATGTACTATGTAATTTTTCTGCTGTTTACTATAAAAAGGAAATTTCCCTAATCTAGTGGCATTTTGAGGTTTTCAAGCCATGCATAAAATGTGCAGATATTTATGTAGGCATTGTAAAGTGTGGGTTGTGAAATGCAGGATTCTTTGGCAGACTGGTACTGGCACAGAAATCAGCCAGGGTAAGTCAACTCCCTTATACACTGATGAGCAATTAAATGTTCTGGTGCAGATTCAGAGCTCCTAAAATACATAAATGGCATTAAAATAGTTTGTGGTCAAAAAAATGTAGGCTATAAGAGAAAGAAAACAAAATCTTATAAGTGGCCTTTCTCTCACATGTTCACACGGTGCTATGGAGAGCTCCTGTACTATAATGAGAACCAGATTTGTGTAAAAAGGTGGGATTTAGACAAAGCACTTTCTTTATACATAAACCTCAAAGAAACAAATTCAACCAAGCAGTAAAAGAGATGAGATCCTAAAAGCTTAACTATTTAGCTTGCCATCAACAGTAGGGGTCGAGGGGAAAAGTAGTTAGCGTGACCGGATGAAAACAACACTTTGCTGTAAACAGGCTGATGGTTCACTTCCAGATGAATGAGTACCAAGGAGTCCAAGGAAAAGGCAAACTTTAGAGAGATCCCATGCCAAACAGTGAGTAGCAACTTCAGCCAATGCATACAGCTAAAAAGCTTTGTACAGAGCAGTGAAAACAGACTGGCAGGTATGCTGTTATGAATGGCAAGATCAACCCTAATCATAAAAGATCCCTGTCCCCTGTAAATGAAATAACTGGGATATTTTGGGTTGTGGAATGAATTTTGGTTAAAATAAATAAAATAAAATGAATACATGTAAAATGCACCTGCCACATTGTTGACTTATTGTCCCAGCTTTCATATATTCAATAATTATTATATTCAATACTTTTTGGAGCTCAATATTTGCCATGTGTCCTTTTTCATTTATTAATGTACTATGATGAGATTTAAGGTTTACGTAGTTGAATAAGTAACTCAAAATAACCGCTTCAGTTGTTGGCAGTGTAATTAACAATACTGTACATTTTGAAAAGAGTATAATGTGATTACGATGGGTGACAGGCCAATGCACATGAAGTGGAATATTGTTGCAAATGTGTTTAAAATGCCCAAATTACACCATTTTCTAATCTATGTTATAATGTTGTTTCCTCATCAAAACATACCTGGAGTCGTTTCGTTCACATGTTTATCACACAAATCCTGCATACCGAGTTGTTCTCACAGAAGAAAACAGAAAACACTCTATTCCACCTTGTGATGTCAGGTAATACAGCAAGTGCTCCACAGTGTTTCTAAACTCCATACACCTTCACTAGAATCATTTAGATGGCTACAACCATGAAATTTCCCATCTCCACTGAATGAATGACAAAACCTGTTACCATTTCATGACATTACATGTTTTTTTGGAGTAATTTTAGTTTTGGAGATGTCGATGGATCAATAATAAAGGGTTACATAAGTGAATGAAACAAAACACAACTCCAGGTATGATTTGATGACGGCTGATGTCATTACAACATGGCTTAAAGCTCACAAGAGTAGATTCTGCATAATATAGGACCGTAAATAAAATATCAAATATCCTAATACCATAATTATGCAAGCCCTTTACAGCTACAGTTTAAACCATAAACTGTTAATTTAGCCATTGTAAAACCAGCTTGCACTAAGCACTTCCATAGTTCCTCATCTTAAACACATAAATGACTCACCTCTCGTGGCTTTCCGTCCTGTTCCAGCACTTCCTGTAGTAATCCACATTTTCAGTCATAAACTCCTCTTCTTCATGAAACAAAAGGTAGGTCAAGGCACACTGCAGGGCCTCCTCCAGCCAGTCCGCTAAAATATGAAATAAAATACAAAAACATGTTAGTAGTTAAACACAGTGTTATACTATGGAAATTTAAGCCATACAACAAAATACACAGTATGTTATATGAGTCAGACAGTGGCATTCAGAATCATAAAGATCTCCTAGACACTTTACTCCATATAAACTGCATTTTTACTGTCTTGTAAAGGCTCAGGGCTGACTTAAGGTTTCCTGAATTGGCAGTAAAAGCAGTCATGTTATCTGCTGTGCTTCCAGGTCAAGAAATGCCTGGAGGTTTGAGTCGAGCACAGAAATTGTGGCTAATATGTTTATGTTTAAAAAAAATTGAGAAGTTGGGAGGATGTGCATATCAAACTGCCTTTGTTTTCCCCTGAATTTCAGACAGCTAAGATGTATTTGCATAATTCTGCTCTTGAAATTGATCTGTCAATAATTAAAAGCATATGTGTGTATCTGACATTTTCCCACATACTATACTATTGATAGTTTCCAGGAATTGAAAAAAATATCCTTGGAAATACTCACTGACCCCTTTTGTTTTGCTTGGGCCTATTAGTCATTAGAATTATCTGATAATCTCGAGATCTTCACAGCACAGTGTCTTTCACAACTGTAGTTTTTGTTGTATTGGCAGCAGCTTTGCCTTGAATTTGCTTCACGAAATTAGTAAAAACAAGATGGGGCATTTGAGTGATAAACTTATAGACCCACAGAGTGGGGCCCACCATCAGGAACCACAAAGGAGAAAAAAAAAAAAGAGTAATTAAAAGCAGACATATTATCTAAAATGAACTGTGACAGTATCCTGCATTTAGACTTGAGTGTTCAGTTTTCACCTTCCCCCTATCCCTGCCCACTCCTCTGTACTTACTTGTGATTAACCCAAAAATTAAGATTAAATGTAACATAGCCATTTTTCAACAATAGAAACGTGTCATTGAAAATCCACTGCTTGTTAGAGTGAAATGTCACTATGAAGAGGCAGGGTCTTTCAGTTCTGCCGTTTTGAAGAGGAAACCATTAGACTTCTTTCAGTTAGATCTGTTTTTTGATCAATATTGCGATTTACTATGCAAAATATGTTATAGTTTAATATTAAATACTAAGTCAATGATGTCTATGACAACTAAAACAGAAGAAGTGCCAAACTATTGGACAACCATTCTAAATAATAGGTGTAATCAGGCCCGTTGACAAAAATTTGGGGGCCTGGGGTAAGAAGCCTCACATGGAGACCTCTCTAATAGTAATTAAGAGGGTCAAATGCTAAGACCATGGGGCCCGGGACAACAGAGCCCTTTGAGCCCCCCGTCGACTCCCCTGGTTATAAGGCATCACTTACTCTGGTAATATGCAAACTGAAGGTAGTCGTAGTGGAGGGGCAGGTAGTTCTCCATTGGTGAGAGGCGTCCAGGTCGAGTGGCCAAGTCTCTCACACACTCATGTTCACAGTGCAACACCTGAGTGAAGTGGTCTGAGGAGAAGAGACACAGGGCAATTAAGAAGATAGAAAATATTAGATGTGTAGATGATAGTAGATGTGTGTAGTGTCTGTAATCTAGAGATAGACAATATATAGATTTATTTTTTTATTTAGACTTCTTTAGCGTACTGGCTCTCAGCCTTAAATCCAGACAATATTTTGTTTTGGTCAATCTGCTGCCTAAAAATATAACATAATTTCAGGAAAAATATCGTCAGAATTTATTGACCATTGACTGCACTGGATTCCAAACAATCAGCATCAGCCAAGAAAAAAAACATATTGTCGATCATTAGCCAAATCTCAAAAACGAAAATCAAACAACAAAAAAACGATATATGTATTCTTTTGATATACAAGAGGCTATTTATCATGCTGCAGCTGGAGTAAAAGAGGGAAAATAGTCATCGATTATAAAGGCAACTTAATTCCTTCACATCATGTCCCTCTATGGTCCGTGGGTGTTACAATAATGTGGAAAACTGGACTCAGAAACCGGCAATGCATGTTTCTCTGAATGCTGCAGTGGAGATGAAACAAGTAAGCTGTTCTCATTTATTATTGGGGCGAGGTCTGGCTCTATGCAGTAAATGTGTGTTTGTTGATGTCCAGTGGGGAGTGATTTTTACAGTGCTCAATATTTTTTCTTTTTCAAACTTGCACAAGAGATGACAACATGCAAGCCTCTGGAGCATACATATAGTGAAGTCACCCCAAACCAGATGTAACTTATCTCGTAAAATATGATGAGGTGCTGCATGAATTTTAACAGTCTCCAATGCATTACAAACAGACAATTTACAATCAAGGCATTTCATGTGGAATAAATTTCATGTAGTTAGGCCTGTCAAGAGAACACATTATGAAGTGTGATTTATCGCTATAGAAAATTTAGACAATAAATTATGATGTTGAAACGTAATGTAAACATGTACAATATTGTTACATAAATATGAGCTGAAATGAATAAATAGTAGAATGAAACACTTGAGAAGCACTTTTCTCCATGGAGATTATCATTAGTTTGTATGGAATGTTTCACAGTATGGTATTAAACCTTTCTATTTTCGTGGAAACCAAACCAGACCAAGTTACAGGTCAAATCTGCTCACCTAGTTTTGTCTAGGTATTTTTTGTGCCATAAAACCACTGAATAAATGTATAGTAGAACTGGTTTTTATCATACTATGGAATATTCTAGGCAGAGCAATGACATATTCATAAAAACAAGCAAGTGACGTTCCCCCAACCAAAAAGTTATATAGTGCATCTTTAAGTTAGTATGGATGAGTAGTAATAAAGGTTTATTCAACCCTCTACAGAAATCTTAAATCTTATTTGTCCCCCACTAGTACAAACAAAAAGTCCCTATGATAAATACTGACCCCCCCCAAAATTATTGTTCCTTCTCTCATTTGTTGAACGATAAGTTGACATAGTAATTATCATGACAGGGCTACATGTATTACATATTTAATCAGAGGGAAAGCTAACATAAGCATACACAAACAATCACCCTCTGCTCCACATTGGTGCTATGTAAAATAAGCCTCTTGATTGTAAGTCAAACAAAGTATGGCCCATCGCCCATTATTTTCTTTATATTGTATACACGAGTAGCCTGCATTTGAGAAAGTATGCTGACTAACAATTACAATGTGGCTACTGCGTCCAGCTGAACAAATGTATTGCAGAAGAGCAGTGGTATTGATTCACTCACATCCATCTACAATAATTGGTGGATTCGGTTTCAAGTACTGAATTTTGTAATTTATAGGAAAATGTGTCCATCATGATAGATTATGGGGCCTTAGTGTGGTGCTTTTCATTTATTTTTCCACTCATTTGGGGTTGGAAGCAGGACTGGTTAACATCTTTAAACATGCATTAAACTCCTAACAGAATAGATTAGTTCTTTAAATTAGGTTACAATATAGCTTAAATTAAACATGTAACTTTTCTGCTTGTCCTATATGGAGATATATTACTTTGTCTGAAATGTTTCACAGTGCACTCTTACAGTGAGTGAACCTTCCTCTCCACACATCTGACCTGTAACTTGGTCTGGTGACATCTCCTGCTTGTTTCCATGGAGACCGTTAAGTTTAATGCCATACAGTGAAACATTTCAAGTCAAGTCAATAACATGGAGACAAAAAGGTGGTAGACCATCCACCAGAAAAGCTACATCATGTTGCTTAATTTATTATTTTTTTTAATTTAAATTCTACTAACATTGAAGCTATATGTGTTGGCAGGTAAGTAAAGTGCTTCTGAGAAATTTCCTACAAGGAATTTAATCATGCTCCCCACATGCTGCACTTAGCGCCTTTATAGTAGGATCGGAAATCTACTCCAGCTGTTATAAACAACCATAATTTACAGTTACACGTAAACACAGCTCTGTTTCTCATTGTTAAAATATGTCACTATTGTTAATTATCACTCTGATGTTGCAACAAATACAGCAGATTATGTAAACCCCTTTGTTGTTTGTGATTTCTAAACAATTACAATTTATAAAAAGGAAGATGAAACCACAGCATTTAATTCTCCCCGAACAGATAGATAGTCTCAAAGCATATGGCCATGTTTACATTTTGTGACATTTTTTAGATTCTGCTGCAGAGATGTTGTGTACCAGACTACTGTTGCTACTCACCTGATACCAGCTCATGTAGGCTGTAGCGATAGCGCAGGTAATCATGGTTCTCAAACTTCTGTGGTCCTTGGCACAAAGCCCGGCACTCCACATCCGCTTTAAAGTACTCCACCAGAGCCTCTTCAAACAGAACAATAGACCCCTCATAGTCTCCTTTGTCGTACAACTTAACAGCATCTGTGAAATAGCGCTAAAGGTAGAAAAACACAGGAAAAACACACTTAAAAGGGATTTGGGTAGGGTTGCACAATATATCACAATTCGAAATCGAAATCGTAAAGATTATATTTATTAATGTCAGGTCTTTTTATGACAAAACTTTTAACTCTAGTTTTTAGACCTTCACAAACATGTTCTGAAGTTGGTTTAGCAGTTCATGTTTCAGTTTTCTCTCAAATGTTAAAATGTGCATTGTGTAACTTTTCTGGTGGAGGGTTCACCGCCTGCTTTTCTCCATGAAGATTGCTTATTACTGCATTATTGCTTTATCCAAACTAGGCCAAATTACTGGTCAGATCTGTGGAGAGGCAACCCCGCTCACAGTCAGCCTGTTTTACAAGGCATGTTTGGGCAATAAAACCACATGTAATACATTTAGGTAAATGTAAGGTTTAATGTCATATTGTGGAACCTTCAAAGCAGAGCAATGGCATATACATAGAAACAAGAAGATGATGAACTCCCAACCAAAAAGTTACACAGTGTAATTTAATGCTCCCGATCAAGTTTGAAATATGTACTCTGAACAGATCTTACTTTTTAAACATAAACTGTAAAATGCAAATGCAGAAAAATTGCAATTTGTAGGCTTAGATTCAGGTATTCCATGTTGTTGTTTTATATAACAGACAGGCCTCTTGAGTGATTAACACAACACATGTAAAACTGTAGCTACTCATTAAATCATTTATGGCCCCCTGATGCTCTGAAGAGCACAGCAGCAATCATTATCTGTTTGGAATAAACTGGAGAAGGTGGAAAGGTTAAGTCTTAACAGCTGTTACAGAGAAAACCACTATGCTTGTAACAGGGTTAGGGTTATCAGGGTTGTTGATGTAGAATGAGGACACATATATTAAATGTTCTGATAAAATGCTTGCTTGGGTTTCAGTGCTTCAACAAAGATGATATTACAGTTGGAGATTGAATGTAAAAAATCAGCTCTCACTGCCATTGTAAACTCCACCATGTTTGTGTACTAGTGTGTGAAACGTATAGAAATGCATAACCCGACAAGCTGCTGGGTCACTACTGGTAAAAATCATGCGAAAATGTCTGAATACTTTTGAATGAACAATACTGGGTTCAGTATTTAGCATCTTAAATCTCTATTTCTTCAATATTATCAACTGTAAATTCTCTGAGGTATGACAACAACTGCTTTAGTCAAGTAGTAGTTATCTTGATTTGAGAACATTTTGCTCAATCTTAAAATAAGGTTTGCCAATAGAACATTATTATATAGATTTTTCTTACTTCTTTCTTACTTACTCTCCTCATTTCAAAAAAAAAAATAAAATAAAAAAGGCAAGGCAAGGCAAGTTTATTTGTATAGCACAATTCGTACACAAAGTAATTCAAAATGCTTTACAGCAGGCATGTCCAAACTATGGCCCGGGGGCCAAATGTGGCCCTCAGACACATTTTTCTTGGCCCTCAGGCTTCCAGGTGAAATGGCCCAAATTACCTTGCATCAAATAAAAATATATTTTTTTACTGCAAGTTTTCTGAAAATCTACCTTGATAAAGCTAATATTTAATATTTAGTGTGTGGTTTTAAGGATCTAAGCATGAATAAAGACTGATGGTTCATTCTAATGCACATATTTCAATTATTCCCTGTACTGAGCGCCAGTCTACGGCCCTCAATTGGCCCTCTGCTTCATCTGTGTTTAGATATGTGGCCCTTGATGAAAAAGTTTGGACACCCCTGCTTTACAGAATAAGAAATACATTAAAATCATAATAAAAACAAATCAAAACATAAATAATCATGAAGATTAAAATTAAAAAAGATAGCTGCTGCATTTTCCCAACTATCTTTAAACAGACCCAAATGTCTTTCCAGTCATAAACAGCAAGAGCCTTTATCACAAGGGTGATTATCATACAATGACTATTGACTCCATCTGTCTCTTCTTAAGTGAAGAGGAAAACCTCCTGAAACACATTATATATATATCGGCTTATAGATATAAAAGAAAACTGGATACGCATGTAGACAAGAGATAAGTGCAGTGCTAGGAAGTAAGTGAATACATGTACCGAGAATACATATTCTGAATACTAATTCTGGATTAACTATATTCTGTTTACAGTTAAGTTTTAATTTGGGTGTATTCAGAATACAGTTACTTTTGTAAAATCAATGGAATACACAGCGGTATTTGATTACATAATTTAGGCTTTAAAACTGCACAGAAACAGTGAGAAAAACATTTTGTGGTGTGTGATTTTTCCATCTCCAGTTAGTCAGAGGAAAATTCATAATGGTGAAACAAACATACATAAAGTTGTTTTTAAGCCTATGATGTTTTTACACTATAATTTATATGCAGCGCATTTGCAGCGCATATAAATTATGCATGTAAGTATTCTAAGTATTCAGAATACAGTACTACTACATTTTAAGATAGGGATTCAGTATTCTGAAATTTTCTGCTACACTGGATAAGTGTAGCAGTGTGTCTGTTTAATGTTTTGTACCTGATGCAAGCGAGCCTCTCTGTCCACAAAATGCTCCGGCCTCACGCCCCGCTGGGCTTTGTACTGCTCGAGGTCCTGTCCCATCTCAACGTGTTCAGGGTTTGCCTGGAAATACGTGTGAGCTGCTGCTGCTGCTTTGTCTGGCATCTTCAACTGGACACAAAAGAGGAGAAGGATTTAATAGATATTAATAAATATTTAAATCCACCAAAAACACTTTCTTATTTTCACTCAGTCAATTGCCAAATTCTAAAAAGTTTATTTCAGCTTCTCCAAAAACATGAGGCTTTGCAGACAATTTAGACACAAGAAAAACTTTGCCAATTCAAAAACCATCATTCCATTGGATTTTCATTAGATTTACTGGTCGCCACATTGGATAAGTTTAAGACTCAAAGTGATACACAGTTCTTGTCATACCAAGAACTGTCACTATTAAAACTTATGAGAGATGAGCCCAGAGCACGAACCACAAGCATTTATCACTATTAAATTAATTTGTTATGAATGCAGAGAGAATATTATAAGAGGATTCTAAGAAAACAGATGCTAAAAAAGAAACTGTGTTTGTGATATAGTGCAGGCCTAGTATGTTTAGACATGACACAGGCCAAAAAGCAGCAGCTGTCACATGTCACAGAGTCCGTGCAAGGTCCTATATTACACAAAATTGACTCTTGAGAGCTGGAAGCCATGTTATAATGTTATTACCTCCTCAAAAACATACATGGAGTTGTTTTGTTTCATTCCCACATGTTTGAGTAATGTTTTATTATTAATATGTCCACATCTCCAAAGCTCAAAATGCTCTGTTCCACCTTGTGATGTCATGTAGTGTTATTGTTTACCTTTAGTTCAGTAGAGATTAGCAATTCCAGGGCTGAAATGGTCCTAATTATTCTAATGAAGTTGTACAAAGTTTCCTGTATTATCACATGACATCACAAGGTGGAGTGTTTTCTGTTTGACAGAAGAACACAGCCAAAATATGAAGGGCTTGTGTGTTAAACATGTGTGAATGAAGCAAAACACAACTCCAAAAACAACATTATAACATAGAAAAACATCAGAGAACAGAGTAATATAGGTTCTTTAAACAAATGATCTTCAGTAGGTGTATAACTTAGCATATAAAGCCTGTCATGACATTCCATATGTTTTGTTGTTGTGTAACATTTTCATTTAGTGCCAATTCAAGTCAGATCAAAGCCAAGATAAGATAATGCTCATAATATCATGAAGAAGACCAGCACCAGTACAAAACCACAGAGAGGAGATTATGATCAGTCTCAGGTCTCGACATGGACAGGTATTCTCATTATGGAGAGCCACAATAGCTTCTACTCAGCACATACCTCTGCAGACTGCTGAGAAATGAGCCTGTGGTCCAGATACACGGTGGTCCTATGTTTCACTGCAGCTCCTTATAAGAAAGTATATTGATGTTGGGATGATGATGATTCTTACATAAAGGAAATCATTATAGCTGGCTTCCAATAGTAATTATCTAAACAAACAGTCTAGACTTAAAAATAGTCACATTTCTTAATCCAAAGTGTAAATTTTGCTCTGAACCACATGCTTTTACTGACAGAGAATTGGCTGTAGATGTCGGGATTAAAAAGACTCAAGAACTAGAATAAATAATGTATCAACTGCACAGACCTACAAAACACAACAGAAGAAATTTCAGTGGTAATAGTTTACTACAATCTTTGCAACATAGCAGTTTTGTTTAGAGGAAAAGGGCCACTTTGATGTGGAAAACATATAGCTTATAAATGTAAACACTAAAAAGGCCCTATACTATACTGCAGTGGAAAAATATGTTGTGGCTACACATGGACTCAAATCAACATTCATGGGTAATGGCTCTAAGTGAGAGAACTATGATACAAACAAACCAGACGATATACACAGAAAAGGATTTGACTCTGCAGTGATTAATAATACACATAATAACAAGGCGTGTGGACTCATTGAACCTCATACATCTTTATTTCAAATGGTAAAACTAGCCTAAATGTTGTGTGAATTGTGTGTGTTTCTTTATAGCTTTTGGCTGGAGTTATGGAGTTAGAATCTTTAGCCCTAACATCAGCTTTGGCTTTGGAGCAAGAACAAAACTTACACTTCAGTTTTTGAGTTTGCACAGAGCCACATTTAATTATTTTCAAGTCAGACCCTGTATTTTATCTATCAACTAACCAATAAGCACAGATGAAACACAACTCATTAGTGGAGGAAACCATGCAAACAAAATGTGATTTGAAGACCACCCCCTCTCTTACCTTACGACCCACAGTGGCTCTTTATCCTTTGGAAAAGACCTGATTTATCCCAGTTGTCATTTGGAGGAAGGGGGGAATTCCTGCTTTTAACAGTGACAGCTGTGGTCAACAAAGGCCAAAACTATTGTCCAGAGACCAGACGCCCACTGCACAGAAGACCATTGATCGTAATCCACATTTTTCAGTTAGGTCTGAATAGTTATATCAGAACCTTTGCCATATGTGCTACTGTATATAATGTCACAGTACTAAAATTTAAATTTTCATTACTAAGGAATACCACAATGGCATTTTAAAAGTACAAACATTTTGTAATAGCATTTGTAATTGAATCAATGCAAAATAGTAGCACTTATCAATATCATGTGGTCCTATACTATTCTGATATGTAGGCTAGTATTTATTTTGTATTTATTCATTTATATATCGGTATACTTTTTTTTAATTGATACCTGTTCAAATTAATTTATATTAGTATTGAACTGAAGCATTTGTTATCTTTTCAAGCTACGTTTTTTTTTTGTTTTTTTTTCTTTGACAATGCCTGTGCATAAATGTCTGTCTTACGCTGGGTATGGTAAAAATCAGCGTCCGTTTTACTATGTTATGTTTTACTGGTGAAGGGAAGAGTGAGGTCATAGGTAAAACAGCAGTGCATTTCCAAACATGTCTCAGAGCGGGTGATAATAGATTTACAATGGCCCATAACAACGGCTGCACAGACAAGGGCAGGAGAACACAAAGGATTGTTGGGAGTAAAGGTAATGGATCCCACTGCCAAAACACAGGGGCTTCCAGAGCAGCAGCTGGAGAAGCCTTTGGATGAGGTGAAATTGAGTCATGCACATTTTATTACAGATGTGCTGTTACTCCAATAAAAGAAAATCTATTAAGCAAGAAACATTATTATTGATACATTGCAGTGGCATCTACATGTATGTCTATATAGTGGAATGTTCAGCAGTTTCCACGGAGACACAACGTACACATTAGTAAACACAGTCAAAATGTTTTTAGATGGATGGATTTAACTAAACAATACATTTTTAGGAGCCTGGGAACAATACAAAAGCTCATAGTTCTGTCTAAGAGTTTGATTTTCAATAAAAAAGGTGAGAGTGACTAACAGAAAAACTGTTGGTTAATGCTAGCCTAACTTGTGACTGTAATTCAGTGTCTGAGAGACTAGTTGAACAGCACAAATGATCTCCCCTGTTCTTTCCAACTAAGTCAGTTCTTCATGGTCAGGTTGTGTTAAACTAAAACTCATATCAAGCTCTAACTTGAGTAACAGAGCTTCAGACAGAGAACTGCCTTCAGTTAGCTTCACACCCCCATGAAATGATGACATCAGAGGCAAAGCATCAATAGTAAAGCGACTGTCCTGTGCATATATCAAATTAAAGCTGCATTATAAAACTTCCTTTAATGAGTTCAATTTGTTCTTCCCCATAAAGTGTATTGTAAAAACAGTACTTAGTGACAAAATCTGAAATATTTTATCATTGGCAAACAAGTAAGAAAGAGCAATGAGTGCCACTTAGGCCAGTCACAATAATAAAGCAAATACCGCCACACAACAAAAATATGCACAAGGTAAATATTGAGCCCCGAAATATATTATTCCAGCTATCACATATTGGATGATAAGTCGATATAGTAAATATTGTGACAGGCCTAGTGCTAAATGATGCTTTAGGATGAGAGATGATTGGCTGTCCATCTACCCTGATTCACTTGCAAGCTCTGCATATGCCTAAAAACATTACTGCATGTGAATCCTAGTGATGTGCCAAAAAGTTTCTTAGAGCAACTGGAACTATACTGCTTCCTTTCAAATGGTTTGATTAATAGCATAATTTAATAACGTAAGATGTGTGTTTTGTTTCTAATCTGAGCCAACAAAACATTTTGTACTCCCTAGCCGAGTTCTAAATGATAATCTTATTACTTTATTACTTAAGTAAATAGAGCAAGTTGGATTCTGCTTTCTGCTTTCTCACACCACAACATAAAATACACAAACGCCACTAATGACATGTTGCTTTTGAACCCTTTGAGAGGTGTACAGTGCAGCCCCACCTGAGTCAGACTTTCCCCTCACACGTATTTCAAAGCAGCACCTGTGGAGGCTGATGACTGGTGCTTATGTGGGCCCCGGGTTTGCCCCTCTCACTACAGATGCCCGCCTCAGAGGCCCGCCCTGCCACTCCTGCCCATGCCCCCTTGATGTGGGACGGAGAACTGCCAAGGCAAACCTACATTAGCATTAAGGTCTCCTCTGGGCCTGCTGTAGATTTTACAACCAAACCATGATTCACAGTAATGAGTTAGTGACAAACAGCACATAGCATATCGCTTTTACAAATAGTTGACAACCACGTTATTTGAAAAAGGACTTGCTTGAATCGCAAAGATAACTTTAAAAAAAGTATTAGTAAATGTAGTATTCAATTATATGAGTATGTCCTTCCATTGCATAAACATACTTGTATATTTTAGTACTGGATCAGTTGTGGAATCAAATCAAATCAAAAGTATTGAATGCATCTGTGGAAAAGATTGCTCCTTTGTACTAATTGTAGGTTTACACAATTTCCTTATTTGCTTTTAATGGCCTGAAGGTAAGAGCATTTCATTCTGTAGAATTGGCTCGGAGAAAAAGTCAAATTTAAAATGCGGTCTGACATGTAACTGAGCCCTGAACTGGCTGCACCTGGTTCCTCCACAGTGAGAGAAGTACTGGAGAGATGAATATTCGTCCAAACAAAACAGACATCATCTGAGCAGTTCAATATGAAGTTTACTGTTGCTGAATCAATATTTATGCCATGCGGTGGACACTGGAAGCTCATCTATTCT